TGTCTTCTTTTGGAAACACGAGATGTTCTCCTCCTTGTCTCAGTTTCAGCTTCGTCTGCCCCTACTTCTCCTCTCTTTACTAATCCATCTATGTGTTTATATCTTGATGACCTACATCTAGACTCATTTGAGCTCCTATCTACGGACCATCTAGAGGCTTCTATCCTGATAGTGATCTTACCTTAGCTCCTGAATCCTTTACACTATTTCTTGGTAATGCTCATTATATTGCTCATCAATCGTGCCATTCCACTCGGATAAGGAACATTCCTATTTGTTTGCATGATTATCATTGTTTCTCCACTATTCTATCTCAACATGAGCCTTACTTTTATCATGAGGCTAGCTTTGACCTTTATTGGTAACAAGCAATGAAAGAGGAATTGCAGGCACTAGCTGGCAAACATACTTGGGATTTGGTTTGTTTTCCTCCTAACCAAAAGGCTATTGGTTGTAAATGAATTTATAAGATCCATACTTGTTTTGATGGTTTTATTGAGCATTATAAGGCTCATTTAGTGGCCAAAGGCTTTACACGGGAGTATAGTATTGATTATGAGGAGACTTTTACTTTCGTTGATCGTCTCACTTCAGTTCGAAGCCTACTAGTTGTTATGGATGTCTAAAATGTATTTCTCAATGGAGACCTTATTGAGGAAGTCTACATGCATCCTCCTCCTAGTTCTCCTCATTAACCACATCAGGTTTGTTGACTTCGTCGTGCACTATTTGGTCTCAAGCAAGTCCCTAGAGCTTCGTTTGCAAAGTTTAGTGTTACCATTGGAGATTTTTGTTTATCTTCCAGCCCTTATGATTTGGCTCTCTTGGTTCGTAAGTTTGAGCATGTCACTACTCTACTACTTCTTTATATTGATGATATGATTATCACTAGGGATGATGTTTCTGGTATTTTTGATCTCAAACATTTTCTCCACACACACTTTGAGAAGGGTCTTGGTTCTCTCGACTACTTCTTCGGCCTTGAGATCTCGTTTGACTCTAATGGGTATTATCTCTCTCAAGTTAAGTATGCCTCTGATCTTCTTACTCGTGCTGAACTCACTAATTACAAGACTGTGCCTACCCTATTAGAGTAGAATATTCGACTTACTCCCTTGGATGACACACCTCTCCTTGATGCCACTGCTTACCTCCAGTTGGTAGGTAGCCTTTTGTATTTGACTGTTACTTGCTTGGATATAGCCTATGTTGTTCATCTCGTCAGCGAATTTTTGATTGTCCCATACTCTACTCATTATGCTTATGTTCTTTGTATTTTACGATATATTAAGAGTACTATGTTTCATGGTCTTCATTACTCTACTCGCTCATCTCTCGAGATACGCACCTATTGATGATATGGATTGTCGTCGTTCTATCACTAGTTACTATTTCTTTCTCGGCGACTCTCTCATCTGTTGGCGTAGCAAGAAATAGTCAGTTATCTCTTGATCCAGTACAGAGGCAGAGTATCGTGCTCTTGTTGACACTACCTAGGAGTTTCTTTGGCTTTATTGGCTCTTAGAAGATTTAGGTGTCTCTCATGGTGCTACTATTATTTATTGTGACAATCAGAGTGTGATACAGATTGTTCACAATGATGTTTTTCATGATTGGACCAAGCATATTGAAATTGACTATCATTTTATTCGACAACATGTGGCTCGAGGCAAAGTTCATCTTCTATCTTTTTCTTCATCTGATCAAACTGATAACATCTTCACCAAGGCACATCCATTGAACTGATTTCATGATTTGGTTTCCAAACTCAAGTTGATTTCTACTTTATCACCTTAAGTTTTTTGTTTGTCCCGCATCAATTATATTGTTGTACTATAAATACACCTTTTCATGTATATTATAGATTACACAAGAGCAATATACAATTGATATTCACTTTCTATTCTCTTCTTTCACATGCATCTTGTGTAAATTATGCTCAATAGCAGTTTTGGGTTGGGTTTAGCTGAATTCCTGTCGACCTTTTTTTTTTATGGTCAAACGGATTTGTCTCTAAGATTAAATTTAAACTCGTTAATTTTTTATTAATTTATGTTGAGTTGAAAAACCATGTTTAAAATCGAGAGTACCAATTGAAAGATGGTAGTAGAAAGAAAGAACATGGATGAATGCAAGAGAGAGAGAGAGAGAGAGAGAGAGAGAGAGAGAGAGAGAGAGAGAGAGAGAGAGAGAGAGAGAGA